CTAAATATCACCAGTCGATTCTTGGTATTATTTTAACCCTTAATATTGTGTATGGTTTTATGATTTCCAAAGTCAGCAATAGCATGTGTAGGTTAGTCAATAGCTCCTAGGGGAATCACCATATTTGATGGTCGTTCCTGTTAATTTAGATGTCTTCTTTTCTTTATATTTTTGGTTCAAAGTTAATTTAGATATCTAAAGCAACGAAAAAGCTCTATTTGTATCATTAAAATTTATTGATTTTACATCATAATAAAGTTTGTATGTATATAAACACAATTGAATCACCTTTTAATATAATATTTTTGTATTTTATTTTTCCGTTATAATCGGGAAAAAACTGACAATATTGAACATTATTATTTCTTGCATCTATTAGTTTTGGTTTCAATTTGTAGAACAGTTGGAGAATCCTTGAATAATCATTTAGTAACGGGGTTGCATCCACATCCATTGATCATAGTGGTTTAATCATCCATGGCAACAAAAAAAATGATGAACAATTGGATCAACGACCACCATGTGAGACAAACATATTTTGACAGATAAAAATCATTTGATATTTATGCTTCCTCGTATAATATATGACATTACACTGATTGGATCAGAGAAAGATGAATGCGAAAAAAAAAAAAGATTTATTGATTTATTATTACTTTTTTGGGGGTACATTGCATCCATTATATATATTGGATAATAATAAATTGTAACAATATAATATTCTTCACACACTGCTTTTGAAGAACTGGTGAGAGATTTCAGATAGATGGACAAGTCTCCAAAACTTTAAGCTATGATTTGTTTCATTTTCCTTCAAACATTTAATTTGTTTCATTTTGTGTGGATTATGATCAGCGTTTGAAAGGAATCGAACCCGCTACATGAAGCTGGTCAACATGTTGACTTCCTGGCCTGGCCCAAACCATCTTTAAATACAAATTCGTCAATTAACAACGGAAAACGAACTCTTGACTTATCCAAACCTGCAAAGAGAGAGGGTTGAGCAATTGAAAATCACTCAGTGAGGGCAAGCCTCGGGGCTCACGAAGTCTTCATACACAAACACGTTTAGACAATCACAAAGTCTAAACCTAAGACAAGCAGGAAATCACGTGTCAAAGCCACACACACATCAAACAAATGAGACTACGTCCCATAACCACTACCATAAAGGCAGGCAGGATACGAACATATAAAACACGCCGTCTACCCATACATATTGGATTCCTCATGCCTAAGCACTTCTTCCATGCAACCGGATCGCTCATGCATCTTGCACTTCTTCCGTGCACCTCATACTCGCCGGCTCGTCAGCCATCCTGATCTATTCGGAAACCACGTCCATAGACCATCACACAACTACAAGGATCTCTCCTGTAGGACTCTCTCTGCGGCTCACCGCATCTTCGTGCCCTTAGCACACATTCTCTCATCACACAACATTTCTTTACCACACAAACATGCATTTCACGAATCACACAACCCGCATTAAAATATTCATTATAAATTATTTTCACTAGGTGAATGCCCGCACTACGTGCGGGTTTATGTGTTACGATTTTTAAATTATTTTCATGTCATATCATTTTATATTATGTTTTATGCATGACAATTAAAAAAAGTATGTTTTCTATTAAATATTATATAGCTAATGCATTTTTTGTAAAATGCAAATACAATTTATTAATTTTTTTAAAGAAATCAAGCTACATTGGTCAATTTAACAAACAAATTTTACTTTATCCAAAGCTCTTCACTAAAGATTACCAAAATCACCTGTTGAAAATTGATAAGAAATAAGTTGTATTAATATGACTACACCATTAGTTTCTAGACAGGTGGAGAGATTAATTAATTAGATTCCACAGAACAAATGCTTCAAACACTTTTCTGAGCTTGCGTTTGAGAGTTTTGATCTCCTTCATCATGTGAGTAATCCCTTCTTTCGTGTTGTTTTCCTCCCTTTTCCAAAATTCCACACTACCGGAACCATGTATCAGCCACTTGAGTTGAACTCATTCAGCTCCTCGAGGGCTGTCCTAATTGCGTTCTGCACTTCTTCTCCCCATTCTTCTCTCAAATTCTTAAGTTTCTCATCTTTTTCATCCACCACTTCCTACACCACAATCATTTAACATTCACCAGAATCAAGACATGTAATACGGGACAGTGAGAGAGAGTAAGAAAGAAACTGAATTAAATGGAACATTTTTTCCTCTAGTCACCACACATTTGAATGGGTGCCATGCCATGCTGGTTTCTGCCATTTTGAGCAAAGCATGGCCTATTCCAACCGCATATTTTCAACTAACTCTCTGTTTTCATACTTTTATGAATGGCGTTTCATCAACTTCTCCCATCCTCTTTACTTTGATTTTGAATCCATCAGTCGATATATCTCTCCGTCCCTACAAAAAACAAAAAGAGACTTATATGTGAAACCCACAAAACATATATGAAGCACACTCAAGAACATGAAACATAAATATAGCCTAACCAATTCTTTGCGTGATTCTTAATTCATCCGTTGAAGTCGTCCATTGCTACAAGGTATAGATCATATAAGTACTTAAATGTAAAAGTACAGTTAGTTTTCGTTAATAGACAGAAAAACAAAACTCCCATTGCAAGGAACACTTTAATAATTTTGAATGTAAGATTCCCCTAATCCTAAGCTCTATAAGTCCACTTTATTTTGCATTTTAATTTAGATTTTTAACAGGAAAGTGTTCTCACCAAAAAAAGAAGGAGACAAAATGCAAATGAAATTGGAGTACCCACTCCGAAATCCATGACCATGGTATTATCGGGCTGTTGTTTCATTTGAACAATGATGCTATCAGTTTATAGCAAATAGACAAATAGAACCAAACCTTCATAAGCCTTGTTGATTTCTTGAAACATAGATGTAAAAGAATCCCAATTAAAAGAATCCCCTTCTTTATATTTTTCTCGATGCCACTTCTACAAAAACAAAACAACCAAAAGAATAAGAACTCCATCTCTAAAGAACCCCAAGTAAACCACAATCTTTTAAATGTGACGACATTATTGGCAAAAAAGTGGAAAAGGAGAAGAACCATGGCAACACGTAGATAGTTGGAACGAATATCATCATCAGTGGCATAAAAGTTTCATGGGGACTGAGGCAACACCCAATTCACCTTAACCCACTTTCACAATCACAAACTGAAACAGATAAAAAATAAACCATTGTAGAATGTTGTTGTTTTTAGTATAAACTTTATACCTTATTATCTAGTGATAGAAGAAACTAGGCCTGGGCGTTTGGGTATTCGGAACCGAACCATTCGGTTCCTAGTATTTTGGTTCTAAGATTTAGGAACCATATTGGAACCAAATCAAAATCGGTTCGGTTCTGGTTCGGTTCCTATTCGGTTCGGTTCGGTTCGGGTAATAAATTTTGGAACCAAATAGGAACCAAATTGTTTCGGGTATTTTTGGAACCGAAAATAATAATAGAATCATAATGCAAAATTCAAATGCAATTATGTAAGTATGTAATAAAACATCACATATTAGTCATTATACTATAACAAATCCAAAAAATAGTTGAAACTTGGAAAGTATTAGGTCAAAAAACACCCAAAGTTTTAAAGATACCACAAAACACAAGAGAAAGTTTTTGTCTGCTCTGTCTTTGAGAAAGAGAGAACAAAGTAGAATTTAGGTTTGGGCGTAGAGAAGAATATATAAGTGGCTAAGAGAGACTTTGAGTTAGGTTTATGGTGGGCTATTGGGCTTGGGTAGTTAGGTTTAGGATTTGATGGGTTTGGAACTTTGGGTTATATAAATATAGGTTAATGGGCTATATTTTTCGGGTACCCGAATGGATATCGGTTCCTACCCGAACCGAACCGATATCCATGGATATTTGATTCAAGATCCAATCGATATTTTCACTAGAACCGGAACCGAACCGAACCCATCAATTTCGGTTCGGTTCGGTTCGGTTCTATGTGAATCCATATTTTTGCCCAGGCCTAGAAGAAACCATAGCTCTCTCCCTTTTTAATAGCTCTTTCTTGCTCCATCTAATCCTTTAAACTTGAGAGACTACCAGATAAACCCTTCTGCGGAACACATCAACAAGATTAACATTATTAGAGTAATGTCCAATAGGCTTACTCGAAACTCATGTATTTTACTCCATTTTTTCTCGAATTATATTTACCTCGGTCTGCTTTGCATGATCTTTAGTTCAGTAGAGTCTAATGGCGCTCTGCGATGAGCTCTTACACGAGACTCGACACGAACAAGAGCTTGCATTCACCGTGTCACAGTTGCTTATTTCCTAACTTGTCTGGCCCAATTAATTGACTTGTCACAACAACTTTCAATACTTTAAACACCAATCCTGCCAAGGAAAAAAAAAAAAACACAGAACTTTAGATGCTAGAATCAAAGACAAAACAATGAACCATTACAAGCAAACATGGATTAAAATACTTTGTTTGAGGAAAACTTAAAAATCAACAAAGAGTTTATATTCGGGATCATTAACGTTTCTTACTTTTTTAAGAAAAGAGAAACAACCATTGTCGCTTAAGAGTAAAGAGAGAAACAATGATCCATTACAAGCAGTGTGGATTCTTGTTGAAGCCTATTGTCGCTTAACCACCAAAAAATCCATCGGTGAGAGCTGCCATGGCTCAACTAAGTATCTAACAACTGTGGTTCTGACAAACGCATGAGAGTCTTATGAATTGTGGATTAATGGAGTTAAGAGGGAAAACATAATGATGCATAAGAACGAAGGTGACTTGGAACAAAGATATGTGGTTCTCTCAACGAATTACCAAGACAAAAGTTTCGTACCTGGTTATTTTTCCTAAATCGATGCACCACTAAAGATAGAATGGTGAGAACTGGGTCTTCCGAATTCGGCTCAGATATAAGTATCAGCTCTGCAATCATGGACTCGAGTTGAGAGAGCATCTTTTTTAGAGCCCTTCCTCATGGAGAATCTGGTCGGAATTAGGACGAAGGCTTCATCTTCAGGTTAACAGAGATTGGACAAATACTCTCAACCATCTTAGGTCTTCAAACTTTGGGAAAGAGAGGAAGAAATCAATACTCCTGGGATGGCAAAGCGCGATCTACACGATCTGGGTGGAGAGGAACATCAGGAACCACCGGCATCAAAATCGATGGAAGAGCTTCTCAAACAAATTGATTCAACAATCTGGACCAGAACGGCAGAACCTCGAGTTTTATATCGGAGAGGCCAGAGCTTGTGAGTGGGAGTCATGGTTGTTATTTGTTAAGAGTTATGCTTGTAGAGGCAATTGTTAAGACGCTGAACTTAAAAACCCTAAGAAAGAAGTGGAAGACGATAAAGCGACGAAACGGACGAAGCTACAAAACTCCAATCGTCAACTTTTTGTGAGCCACGTGGCATCATATCGTGTGCTGACGTGTCACAATACTGGAGAGAGTTCTTCTACTTTCATATATATGATTTCTAAAATACCAGTTCATTTTATAAATAGGTACATATTTGTGTCTAAATATATAAATATGATATACAATCACCACCCAAATATATATTACTTATAATGTATCATATAGGTATGCTCAGCTTAACCTAAACATATCGGTATATGAAAAAGACACCAACTATTCCTCACCTTAACCAATCAGCTCTGAATTCACGGTTTAGGGATAACAACATCATCAATCTGGTTTAGCAACGATCTTGGTCTGCATTAGTGAATTAACCGGTCAAAGATTAAATCAAATAATTAATAACCATGATTTAATCTCCTAAACCCAATCAAATCCAAAGTCTCGATTTAAATTAATTAGACCCGGTTTAATAATTAAACCAAACCAAATCTAATAATCTAATAACAACTACAATTCAACTCCATAATCCATAATCACATGATCGACTCTGGTATAAACAATTCCAACTTCATCTTCACGTTTGCACAATACCACAATTAACTCACGATAATTAAGTTTGGTTTAAGAACTCAATTACACACGTAAGATCGCTTGGTTTAGATTGGTTTTAAGATCCCGGTTCAATAATCTAAACAACACAACATCAACGACACGAGAATGAGACGGGCCGATACCTTTCTCGGCGATTACTATCGATGGGTCACCTCAGCATGCAGCTAGACGAGGTGGTTCAAGCTCACGGTGGCTAGGTCCTCATGGTTCAACAGTCACAAGCAAACAAAACAACAAAGCATAAGACAAGGCCAGAGACTTCATGCACAAGTTACTATATAGATCTAGGGTTTCCTTACCTTTAACGGCCTATACAATGGCTACGGCTGCTCCGGTGACAGTGGCCTACATCTCCGGTGGTGGCTGTTGTATTATGTTTAGTATATGTATATTCAGGTATGTATTTGTATATGCGTCCATATCGTCGTCTCCCTTTTGGACGGAAGAAAGAAAGCTCGAACCAAAACAAACCCTACCAGAGAATCTTGGGTGGAGAAGAGGAGCAGTGAGGTCTCACGTGGAAAGTGATGGAGGAGGAAGTAATCTCGTCAGCGTAAAGAGAGACAAAAAAAGGAGAGAGAGAGAGAGAGAGAGAGAGAGAGAGAGAGAGAGAGAGAGATGTTGTGGAGGTGGTGGAAACCACCAGTCGATCATATTAGTCACTTCGTGGCTGTGGAAAGCCTCGATGGTGGTGGAGGGTGGAGAGAGAGAACCGACTTGGTCCAAGGAAATGAAAATAGTGTGGAGGCATGTTTGGATGCTCGCCGGTGCCAGATCTGACGTTAGTATGGCAAGGTAAAGATATTGGCGTGTTCATCAGCAACCCAAGAGTCCATAGCCATTGATAGATCTCTTTCATCACAATCGCCAGCTTCTCGGCTCCCATCGGCGAAAATCTCAAGTCGGAGACGAAGAAGAAAGAAAGAGAAAGAAGAGATAAGAGATGGTCTGAGTTTTCACCTCTTGTACCACAAAACGAAAAATGTTAACCACTCATGCCACTGTTATGTTTTCTTTTTATTATTGAATTTCTTTTAAATCGTAAAACTGAGTAATTTACCAAAAACCCAGACGGAAATAAGAAAACTACGACCCAACCTAATAAACTCGAACCCAGCCCACTTGAAAATAACCCGGCCCATAAAATTTCCCCAAATTTACCCTAATTTCCCTAAGTGTAAATCGAGAACTGTAAAATTTCAGAAAAATTTCACCCGTCTCCCGTGAGTTCGTTTCTCTCTCGAATCTCTCTTCTCCGCTCCGTCGCTTGTTTTCCGGCGCCTCGTCGTCTCCGTCGTCTTCTTCTAGCCTCAGAACTTCGGCCGTCGTCTGTGGTACTCCGTCAATCGTCTCCTCCGTCTCCTCCGCGTTCATTTGTCTTTTCGTCTCCGCCGCCTCCGTTCGTATTCGTCTCCTCCGCGTGTCTTCGTCTCCTCCGTATATGGCTCGTGTGATAGAGGGAGGTAGGGAATATGAGTCAACAGAAAGGTCTCGAGAAGCTTCGACGACGGATGTCGCTGTTTTAACAGAAGCTGCGCTTGATGCTTCTGTTCAAACAGAAGATCTGACGGATTCTGTTGTTCTTCCAACAGAATTCGAACCGACGAATTCCGCTGTTGTTCCAACAGAATTCGAACCGACGGATGCCGCTGTAATTGTTCCAAGAGTGGATGCTTCGGTTCTGGAATTGTCTGATAGAGAAGGGAAAGACTCAGTCCGTGAGTCAAATGAAGACGTTTGTGAGTCCGATAAAGAAGTCAGTGAGTCAAAGGAGAAAGAAAAAGAAGTCCGTGAGTTGTCAATTGATGGTCAGGGTTGTGATAACGAGGAAGAAGAGAGAGTTGGTGATGCTGAGGGTGGAGAAAGGAGTTGTGATAATGAGGAGGAAGATGTTGTTGCTGGTGTTGTTAAGGTAAGTAACAGTTTGTATTTGTTGTATATGGTGTTAAAGGTAAGCAACAGACATAGTTGTACTCAGTTGTATGTGTTTGAATATGCAGAATATAGTTGATGATATTGCTGCTGAGGAAGAGGAGAGGGTTAATGATGTTGCAGCTGATATAGATGAGGATGATGATGATGAGGAATCCCAACCACTGCCGCCAGAGAGCATGTACTTTAGTCCAACTGAGTACAACAAGGTATGTAAGGTAGGGAGTAGGTGTAAAGTTGGCCAAACAGTGGCCATGATAGAGGCATTTGATGAGGAAGTTAGTTGGTTTAGGAATCATGCTCAGTTTAAGCATATATTCCACATGCCTAAGGAACCAAATCACATGATTCAAGGCATGTGGATGCTTATGCTTCGCACTGCTCGCACGGATATGGAGAATGAGTGTTGGTTTGTTGTGAATGGAGTGCCTATAAGGTACTCCTTGAAAGAGCATGCTTTGTTGACCGGGTTGGACTGCCATGAGTACCCAAAGAATCATGAGAAGAAGGGTAGTTTGAGGTTTGTCAGAAGGATGTTTGGGAGGACAGACCTAATCAAAATCAAAGATGTAGAAAAGAAGTTGGGAGCTATAAAGAGTGAGAAGTGTTTGGATAGGAAGAAGTTGATTATTTTGTTGTTTTTATGTACGGTTGTGAAGGCTGATTCTAAGGGTGATGGGAACATAGAGCAATTCCTGTTAAGGATTGTTGATGATGTTCATGCTTGTGAGATATTCCCGTGGGGAAGGTATTCTTTTGAGCAATGTATGACAGGGATCCGGAGAATGATGAAAAACATGAAAGGTTCGGTGAAACAAAAAGCACAGAGAAGCTTTTTTGGATTCATCACTCCTCTTGAGGTAAAAACTTGTGAATATTGTAATGAGTTAGAGTGTTTAAGTTATAGTAGTAAAACTTTGTTATTGTGAATGTGTAGATTTTTGCATTTGAGTGCATATCACAGCTTGGAAGGCGATTCAGAGAAGCTGTTCCCGCAGCTAATGACTGTCCAAGAATGTGCAAATCTAAATTCACTGACAGTTGCATGAAGGGCTTTACCTTGGATGAAATAAATCAAGCCCTTGGTGAAATTAAGGTTAGCTTTTGGTGCCTTCACTTCTCTTAGTATGCATATGTATTGAGATTGATGCTGTGTATTTGACAGGATATCTCAAGCATCTTGGAACCTGATATGGATGAGAAAGAGATGTTGTCTGGCCTTGTTGAGAAATATGTTGATGAAGGGATGGGATTTATTGATCCAGTTGTTGAAAGTTGGAGAGAGCAGCTGATCACAAAGAAGAAGAAAATCTGGTGGAAAAGTCTATACCAGATGGACTTGCAGGCTCGAGGTTTTGGTGATGTTGTCCCTGAAGTGGCTGAGAGGCTTGGTGATGTTAAAGAAAGAGATGGTGAAGTCCCTGAGAGGCTTGGTGATATCCTCTCATTACAGTCAGCTGTGGACAAAGGATTTGCGAAGATCATGGAGAAGTTTGCTGAGATGGATAGCAAAGTGAGTATGCTGGATGGGAGAGTGAAAGAATTAGAGGGTTATGTGGCAATCCAGCTAGAGAAAGAGTGGTACAATGAGTATCATCCAAGGACTTCAAGTGATTTTGTGCCAACCTATTGTACACCAACTGCTAATCAACCAATAGCGAGTCCGACAAAGGCTTTGGTCCTTCACAGTGGTTTCACAGACCATAAGCCAATCCAGATTCAAGAATTGAGTGGGTTTACATTTTTGTAGTTTTTATTGTAACATACATGTTCTAACATTTGAGTTGTGTAGGTGATGAAGGTGATCAGGAGCAGCTGGCTAGAAAAGAGAAGGAGAACAAGAAGACGAAGGCAGTGAGGCCAAAGCATAGTGGCCCTACAATCCAGACCGGGAAAAAGAGACAAAGGAAGCCTTCCAGGTTTCAGGCTGAAGAGTTTACAGTAGAGGGGAAGGGGAAGGGGAAGAAGCGGCAGAAGAAATAGGTGATCTTTATGAGAGATCACTCTTTATGATGGGTTGCTTTTGTGTAGGACAAAACTTATATTTTCTGAGTATTTTGCGGTTATCTTTTATTAGGATTCAAAACATTGTACTATCTTTTGGTTGTGTTGTGGTTTAGGTGCATTTTTTGTATTTGGGGTTTAGGATGATCCAGAAATTATATTTTAAAAAATTATGCATCTGGTCCAACTACTAACAAACGTGGGACAACTATTAACACAAGTAGGACAACATGAACAACTATTAGTAATCCTGGGACAACTATGTGATGAACCATGGACAACATGGACAACTACTAATCAACCAGGGACAACTATGTGATGAACCAAGGACAACTACTAAATAAAATAAATTTTAAATTTTAGTTGGACTAGTTGAACCTGGGACAACTACTACTAATACAGGGACAACTATGTGATGAACCAGGGACAACTACTAAATAAAATAAATTTTAAATTTAGTTGTTCCGGTTGAACCAGGGACAACTACTAATAATCCAGGGACAACTATGTGATCAACCAGGGACAACTACCTAATACAATAAATTTAAATTTTAGTTGGACCAGTTGATCCAGAGACAACTACTATTAAAAATACTTAGTGAATACTTATAAGTCGGAGTTGTACCGGTTGAACCAAGTACAACTACCATTACTGCAGGTACAACTACTAATAAGACTTCATAAAAACACAATTCCATATCCAAAATAAAAATTCAAATATTACAAAGACTAGGTGGTAATCATACAATATTACCACCTTGAAAGTAACCCCCTAAGCCTCGCAATCTCGACTTCTTTTGTGGCTAACCTCTCTTTAAGGTCATCAATTTCTTCACGCATAAGACGAAGAGTTTCCCGGATCGACTCCAAAGCAGGATTTCCACCCCTCCCATATTCAAGGGAGGTTAACACGTCATCTTTATGTATGTCAAATAGGTGGTGTATCTTGGACAGTTCCTTAGTTACCGCCCAATCCCACCACTGAACTAGGTGATCTCGATTATCCTTAATTCGTCTCCATCCTAGGAAGAATATAAAAAGTTAAAACCAACAAGTTGTACTTAGTTGTTCCAGAATTGCAACTAAACCATACCTTAAGGAATGGGCATCTGTATACGCGCTCTCCTTGGCGCTGTCCTGTTAGACATCGCTCAAGTTTGACCATCTCACCACAGAAACACCTCTCGGGAACACCATAATTGGCATCCGCATTACATTCTCCACTGTTGATACTTGCTACGGATGTGGAGGGTTGGGAGTAACTATAAGGCATATCTACGGTTTAGAAGATGAGTAGATCTGACCATTCAATCAAACATAAATCAATTAAATCTTAGAAATTCCTAATTAGTATAAAGTAGATCTATTAAATTGAAGTAGTCTAAGACAATTGCCATACCTTATAACGGCGAGAGCAGGAAGAAGAAGAATAGATCTGAAAACCCTAATTTTTGGGTTTCTCGTTTTCAATGACAGAAGAAGAAGAGAGAAGACGACGAAGAGAAAGAAGAATTACCCAGATTTTGCAAAATTTGAAGAAATCTGAAAATCCTAATTTTTGGTGGTCTCGTCAAGAGAGAAGAAGAAGAGAGAAAAGAAGAAGAAGAGATAAAGAAGAAGAATCGGAGTCGAGATTTTGAGAGAGAGAGAGAGAGAGTAGATTTAGTAGATAAAAGATTCGAATTAAAGTAGATCAGGGGTGTGCCCGGTTTGAGTCAAAACTAGTCAAAGACTAGTGTGAACACATTTATGTGGGACCCCCGACAAATAGATTTTCTACATAGTTGTCTTTAGATGTTCAGTTGTCCTAATTTCCTCACAGTTGAACTATTTCAAATTTTGTAATTTTATAGTTGAACCTTAAAAAATATCATAGTTATCTAGTTGTTCACATCAATTTCCACATTATATTGGTGATTAAGAAATTTTCATAAAATAATTTGTCAGAAATCATAGTTTCTATACTTATTCCATCTTTATAGATGATCTTGAACTAATTGTTCCTTGTTACCTAAAGAGTGTTTTGTGTAATTTTGGTTTTTGCTCACATTAATTATTGATAATGTTACATATCATATATTAAAAATATTAAATTTACTTTCAGAGTTTAAAAATGTTTTAAATCACTTATTATGGTTTAATTTATGTAATTTTGTATTTTTTGTAGTTTTAGTTGTTTCCAGTTGTCTCGGTTGTACCCAGAAAGTATTCTTCCTAATATCGCAAAGAAATAAAATAGTTTATATTACAAACTAGTCTTACAAATAATAATCCATATATTACAAAGCGATATTAGTCTTACAAATAAAAATACAAGTACAAAGTTGTGACAGTTGTTCCGGTTGAACCCAAACGGTTACACAGTTGTTCCAGTTGAACCAAAATGGTCCAGTTGTTCCAGTTGAACCGTATTGGTAAAACAGTTGTACCGGTTGAACTAGGGCTGCAGCCATCTCTCCAAGTTAATTCCTGGAACAGCTTTGTTACTCTTTCTCCGTTTTTCTCCAACAGATGGAAACCGTTTATCTTGATTTCGTCCTTTTTTTGGAATGTATTCTGGCGGCTCAGCCTCCAACTCTTCAACTGACTCGGGAATATTCCATTCTGACTCATGTGGCACTACAAACAACGTCCTGTAATATGCCAATGCCCAAGTATCAATCAAATAATAGACGGAGCAAAGTCCATATATGCTTACATCTGCATTTCTCCCTTCCTTGCGGGCTAGGAACCTTGCTGCGGCAATGGCATGGACACACGGGTACTTGTCTATATCAAATGTCTTGCAAGAACAAGTTTTCATTTTCAAATCCACCAAAAAGCTTACCGACATCCCATCAATGACGTTGTATTCTTGTCTATAACTGTTAAGCTCAACAACTTTTAACTTCCCAGCAACTGGACATCGAGCATGCAAGATATTCTCTACAAAAGGCACAACCTGTGATGTGCTCGATGCATTACCTGAATCTTTCCTATGGTTGTTAAACCATTCAGAGAACTTCTCAACCATGGCATCAATCATAGGTTAGAGGTGATACTTCCTCGCTTTCCTAAACGTAGCGTTCATTGACTCCGCAGAATTGCTAGTGTCTATGTTGTACTTGTCTTCTTGGAAATGGTACCTAGACCACTGCTCTCTCCCTATGGCTTTATCTAGATAGTCAGCAGCATTAGACCACCGACTCCTAAAAATACCATATTCTCTATTGAACTCACTCTCAGTATAAGCATGAGCGCACTCCAAGAACTTCTTCGCACTCCATCCTTATCAGTCTTCGCACGGAGTCTTAGATTTTGAGACAAATGCCATATACAGTTTACATGATGCGCATTCGAGTACACCGTCATGACAGCCTTCTTGATGCTTTGATGTCTGTCACTAATAAACACCAAATCAGGAACTTCTAGATATACAGTTTTCAGCTTCTGGAAAAACCAAATCAAACTAACATCCTTCTCCGCATCAATTACACCAAATGCAAGAGGGTAATGGTGATGATTAGGATCTTGAGCTGTTGCAATAACCAACATCCCACCATATACAGTTTTGAGATGAGTTGCATCCACAATTATCACTTTCCTCATTGCCTTGAAACCTTCAATGCTAGCTCCCACAGCGATGAATAGGTACTTGAACTTCTTCTCTTCCAACTCCACACTTGTTACACTCCCTCTATTTACCTTCTCTAACATGTAGAGATAAGAAAACAACATCTTGTAACTTTTTTCCGGTCCACCTCTCACTTCACTAACATGCTGCATTTTCCCTCTTAATGCAGTGGAGTATGAACAATGCACACCAAGTCTTCCTGTCACAATAGACATGATGCTTTTTGGATCTGGGTCTGTAGATTACCTGGAAAGTCAGCATGCAAAACAGCTGCTATTAATCGTGGTGTTCCTCTCTGTACACTATTGCTTGTAGACTCAACAGACCGCGAGCATGTATGGATCTTTCTATGCACTCTAACACTCCAATAATCTGATTGCTTTGTTCTCGCAACTCGTAAATACCATTTACACCCTTGAGAATATTGTTTGCATCGTAACATAAGTCTCAACGGGTCAGACTTAACTGTTAAAACCCCATAAACTTCTTGTTTTGCAGCTTTGTTTACCAATTCCCACAGTGCCTCCTTAGAACAAAATTCTTGATAAAGTTCTATACCCGTACCATCTTCCCATTCTATATTCTTCGGAGTACCTTTTACATGATTTGGAATAGCTGGAATATCATCAAAATCACACATACCATCCACATCTTCATCCAAATGGTTATCCATCGACCATTCCACAGCCACAACTTCCATACTTGTCACATTCTGACACACTTCATTCACCATATCTTCATTCCCATCATTCTCCAAAACTTCATTCACATCATTCTCCAAAACTTCATTCACATCATTCTCCAAAACTTCATTCCCATCATTCTCCAAAACTTCATTCACATTCACTAGCTCTACATAATTCACACCAACTGAACTTCGACGCTCCGGTACTAACATTTCCACCCTCTGGTTATTGTCACTTAATACCTCCACATGCAAAACTGGAATACGACCCTCTTCATCACATTCTGTTAAAAAAATGTATACGTCCTCATCATCTACAATATATGTCTCTCTCCGAGCTTTAGATAGATTGTAACTTAGTTTCAGATTCCCAGGGACTCCATTCTGGCCAACCTTCGTAGTGATCTTATCTAATAGCACCGAATAAGTTATCTTCTCTAAACATGCCGTCTTAAACGATATAGCGTATAGTGAATTTTTATAAATCCACTCATTCCCTTCTGAATAGTACCCTCCATAGTCAAAATGTACGTTAGTCTGGCTCTTCTTCTTCATCGCCTCCTGAAATTACAACAATTTTAAACATAATTACCAACACAATTTGTCACAGTTATACTAGTTGTACCAGTTGACCTACACAGTTGGCCTATACTCTAACAGTTGTACCAGTTGACTATGGAGGGTACTATCCTGAAAATACAGCAATTAAAAACAGCACATACACCATTTTCCACTGTTATACTAGTTGTACCGGTTGGCCTACATACTATCAGTTGTACCAGTTGGCCTACATACTATTAGTTGTACTAGTTGGCCTACATACTATCAGTTGTACTAGTTGGCCTACATACTATTAGCTGTACCAGTTGACTATGGAGGGTACTATCTTCAAAATACAGCGATTAAAAAGCACATACACCATTTGAAACAAATATACTAGTTGTACCAGTTGAATAATTAAACATAGTTGTACCGTTGGCCTATCAGTTGTACCTGCTGGCCTACATACTATCAGTTGTACTAGTTGGCCAATAGTCTATCAGTTGTACCAGTTGAATACTTAAACGTAGTTGTACCCTGTTAGAACTTTCTCTTAGCTGTACCAGTTGACTGAGATCTGACTCGATTCTACTTAAAATGTGAGTTCATTCAACAATGTACGAGCTACACTCGATTATAACCAATGCCTATACCTCCATTCGCCAATATACTATCGATTCTTCTAAAAAAACCCAATTCTCATTCAAATCCCTAATTTTAAAGATTTCCAAAATACTCTTAAATTACCTAAAAATCAATCAATGCAGCAATGAAAAGAGGATACATGACAAGAAACTAACCGATTTCGAGAAGGAGGAGGCGTCCGTTCAACTGTACTTGCAGATCGGCGATGTGGGAGTTCGGAGCTGTGGCGGAGGAGAAGAACGCGGGTTCGGAGGAGAGAGAGAGAGACGAGAGAGGAGAGAGAGAGAGATGAGAGATAAATGTTTTTCTTTTTTCTTTTTCGATTTTTTTTTCCTTCTTTCATTAAGGGTAGTTTGGTCAGTTCACATTCTCGGTGGCATGCAGATTTTTTGATGGCATGCCAGATCATTTTTCCCTCAAAAGTGGCATAAGTGATAAAAATTCAGATGGTCTGTGTTTCACGAGTAATTTACCCTAAATCATCTATTTCTCTTCTAATTCTTTTTTTCTCTATTTTTTTAATTATTATTTTGTTACTAATTTATTATTTAGAAATTTTTTTGGAGGTAATGAAATTTTAGTTTTCCCGGTTACCTCTACGATAACGTTTTTATCGTCATCTATGCTATCGTAGAATCAAAAACTAGGCGCCACTACAAAATATTTTCGCGGTTATCTTATTATAACGTTAGCCTTTTTGGAAACGCTATAAAATTTTTCTTGAAATTCAACTATAGCAGAACCATCAAAAACGCTATTCTGTACTGCTATTAATACTCTCATTTTCTGTAGTGAAACCAACCACCTCGTTAGAGACAAGCTTTACGACCTCGTGTGTACGTGGTAGAAAACTAAGGGCTTGATGTTGTGAAAGATTAAGTTTGAAATTAAATTTCCAAGGTCATACAAGTTCATGTTGGAGTGGGCGGTTTAATCGTTTTAAGAGAAGATTTATTTAGGATTTTATTATCTTTTATTGGAGTTTTGTTGTTGGCTTATGCTTAAACATTGCTATTCAATTCTTTAATGATCAATCAAATTGTTTTAAAAGTTGCTTTCGGATTAATTGGAGCATTTCTAGTGTCATGAACGGAGAAAATAATCAAACTGGAAAAATTGAATTTGGGGACGAATTCTCGATAAGTGGGGGAGAATTGTAAGACCCAAACAAGCCCAACAAAGGCCCACCTCTACTAAAACCAAAAACCAAAAGAGAACGTGTATATATGTGTGTATATAGTGTCTTCTTCGTCGTCATTGCCGCTGGCCATCACCATCACCAATCAAAATACTCATTAAATCTTGATCTCAAGTCATCACCACCCACCCTTGTTGAGTTCAAAGCTGTCGTTTATGGGTGTAGTTGTGTTTTCGATCAAGAACAATGATACAGAAAAACTGCAGGTTTCTCAATAAGAACGAATTCAAACCGATAAAAGCTCAAATTCACATAAATGAGTCCATGTTCATGAAACACCAACTCACTTCTCAAATTGCTAAAGCTTAGAATGAAGAAACAGCTTTCGCATCAATGAGGAACAAACCTAAAACTCACAAACAGACTTGAAGAAGAAGAAGATTACAAACTAACAATTTCTCTGGTTATTTTCTGCAAGTGATCGATAATTCTTCATATAGCTCCAACTCTCTATCTCCACGTCAGCTGCCAACGCATCATTCACGACTAAACCAATCATTTTCCTTCATTCTTCCACGTCAGCCACTCTTCCATTTTCCCTATAACAAATCTCCCTTTCTCAGAGAACCTTGACCACAAGGTTCATGGAAACTTCATTGTCAATTCATAGAGTAACTCCCATGCAGCCTCTTCCATTGGAACCATAGCTCCAAGCCCTGTAGCTCGTAGGCCTCATTATTTGGATAAAAGAAGAGACGAGCTGATTTGAATCGCCAAGCTTGTGACAACTTCATCATCCTTAAATCTTTAGCCATTGCGGCTGTCTTGTATTTAAACCACCAATCTTTGCCTAACTTCCTCTTTCCCAAAGTTGAAACACAACTGTTGCTACCAATCAACAGCTGCCAAGACGTAGGACATTTTCGTTTCTTCTCTTTACTCTGCAATTCCATAGGAAGACCATGCTTCCTCTTCTTTCGTCCAGCTAGCGCAAGTTCTTCACAATCAAAATTCAAGTATAAATGTCTCCTCAGGAGAAAACGAATTGCAGCAGATACTTCTTGAGTCCACATGTACTGAGAGATAAAACGTTGAATTTCCCTTCTTGATAAGCTATACCCAGTTCTGGATTGGAGATTCCATGGATCCTCCTCGTCAAATTTGTATTTGAACATCCACAATTTTTGACATTTCCTTTGTTTCTTCTTACTATGGCACCTAAGAAGCATTGTATCCAACAAGTTGTGCTCAATACACGGAGAATATGAGAGTGATGTTTGTTTGAAAACAAAAGCCATCGTCACATGTGATCCAATTGCAGTCCGTGGTAGACTATCCTTTCCATTCCACATCAACAAATCACTAGATGTCTCAACCATTCCCAATTGTTGAGAGAAAACCATTCTCATACTCTTGAAAAAAGTAAGTGCATGCAGTTTCCTTAAGCCCCTCTAGTACTTAAACATCCATGATTTAAACCCTTTCCTTTTCTTCTTTATTCCCAGCTTTTCTTCATGTTTAGACATTTTACCAAACACTTGGTGTGCACAACATTTTTTGGTGTTACTTATCACATTCTGACTCTTCTCAACATCACCGTGAACCTCAAATATCTTATGAATGTTCTTTTGAATCCATTCCTGCTCCAGATTCTCATGCATCACCACATCGTCTAGATTGTCAAACTCTAAATTGGCTTCCCTAAGTTCACTACTCCTCAAAATCTCAGAATTAGCAATTGATACCTGAAACTGTGGAGTTGATTCTTCCTCCAGGATTGCTCCATGTACTAAATTGTCTTCTAAGCCAATCGATTCCATCTCAACCTCAATTTCTTCAGTCTCCTGCAACAGTTTCAGCTTTGCAATCGAATCCTCCACATGCTGATTATATTTCACTTGCAACATCAGCTTGTAACTCCACCAATCATGCCTAACATGCTTCCACCACATTGATTGTACAATTGATTGGTGCAAAGTCGCAACAATGTCATCGAAATGGATTGAAGCGATACCAACTTTCAATTCATCCGGAGTACGATCAATTAAGAAGAATTGTTCAATCCGAAACAACCAATCCTCGATGATATCACCATTAAACCGTAGAAAATCAGCCTTCTCTAACATGTTAAGATCTGCGTAACTCGAGTGCGATCGAAACCTCATCTCTGTCGCCGTTTCACGAACCACTGCCGTTGCTTCTCCAGCCACCATCTCTTTGATTTGAGCTTGAAATCTTGTCTCCGCCATTGATTCCGAGGTTCGATTGAGCTCTGATACCTTTGATATAGCTTTCTTCACCGATCGATCAATCAACACTTCAATTCCAAAGTTAACCAAAACAACGTTCATGAAACGCAGCTTCGATCATCATCTCTAGGTCTCTAGATGAGAACCTAACAAAAGAAGAGATTCAAGGAGAAGATAACAAACTTTTACAATTTTCATCAATGAATCCGTAAGAGACCTTCAGCTTCTCTTTAACCCAGCTTTCTTCACCGATCGATCAATCAACACTTCAATTCCAAAGTTAACCAAAACAACGTTCATGAAACGCAGCTTCGATCATCATCTCTAGGTCTCTAGATGAGAACCTAAAAAAAGAAGAGATTCAAGGAGAAGATAACAAACTTTTACAATTTTCATCAATGAATCCGTAAGAGACCTTCAGCTTCTCTTTAACCCCAAAACACTTCTGCTTATTTAATCTTGACCGTTGCTTCTTCTTTAGATCTCCACGATCCACGTGTCTTCCCACTTAAATCCTCATTTACTGTATCAAATCATGCCCTCTTAGACAACCATGACCTCATGGTTGTGAAATAGAGAAACTTCATCCACTGTGCAAACCAGAATTCCCAACTTGTAACCCACCTGTTGTAGCAAACAATCTCTCCAACAGACATTGTTAACTCATCATTGCTGTAATAGCTATTCTCATCTCCCATTATTGTTCCAACATATCTTCTTTGAAAAAACTTGCTTCAACAATGTCACTAAGAACGTTGAAAACACAACCACTTCACTCTGTCCAGTTTATAGCCCCTCAAGTTCCTGTTTTTAAACTTAAATTTCCATGATTTGGGACACTTCAGTTTCTTGACCTTCCACTGTAAGTTTATACCTCTTTGAACCTCTTGTGAATCAATTCTAAACAGTACACACATTGTCATTATTCTCCAGCGTTTAAACCCCTCTCCAATGTGATCATGTAGTGTTTCCTCATGATGAACAAACCTCATGTCAATGCCAAAATCCGAGACATAGAAAACCTGATTATGATGGTGCTTTGTGTCCTCTTTTTCAGGTTTGAACTTAAACTTCCAACTCTTCAAAACTTTGTCCTTCAGCTTTTGCTCTACCATTGGCACTGTAGGCCATTTATCAATTGATTTTGTGCTACAAATCTCTTCTTGTTGCTGCAACAGTTTCCTCATACCCACAAAAGACTCTTGCTGCATCAACTGCTTCCCAACTGAGGAGTCATTATCCTTATGTACAGCAGCTTCATGAAGCAAATCCATGTTAACCAGTTTCTGAGGATGTGCCTGCTCACAAACCAATTCTTGTTCCTGCAACAAGCTCTCCGCTTCAACAGAATTCTCTTGCTCAATCAATTGTTTGCCCTCAGAATCCTTATGTGAGGAATTGTGCATTTGAATGTCACTCAAAGAAGGTTCTGTAGCTTCACTTGGAACATTTAAAGATTCAGCTCCTTTTTGATATTCATCACCATCTGTTTCGGTACTAACCCTTTTCCAATGATTTTGAGCTTTCTCATACATTCTGCCCAACATTAAGCATTGTTCAACATATTGAGGTTGAAACATCTTGACATTTATCTGCATATCAGTTCTCAACCCTGCCAAGAAAAGACTAACCAAGTACGCTTCAGACAGATTCACACGAGACTTAATCAGCTCAAATTTGTGATGATAATCCGCAATTCCGTCAGTTTCTTGTAACTGTTTTAGCTCTGCAATAGGATCACCCAAGAATTCAGCAAAATGTTTCTGCAACAGAAGCTTATACACTTTCCAATCACGCAACAAATTAAC